TATATATATATATATATATACACACACATATATATATATAATTGTTTATATATTTTGAGAGAGAGAGAGTGCATGAGAGCAGGAGAATGAGAGCAGGGGAAGGGCAGAGAGAGAGGGCGGGGGGAGAGAGAATCCCAAGCAGGCTCCGTGCTGCCAGCACAGAGCCCTCCATGGGGCTTGATCCCATGAACCATGAGATCATGACCTGAGCTGAAATTAAGAGTCCAACATTCAACCACCTGAGACACCCAGCCTCCCCTTGTTTTGCCTATTTTTAAGCTTTATAGAACTCTCTACCCAACTTTTAAGTGTTGCATCACTTTGGTGCTTGGTCATAGACCATTTTCTGATTTTGAATATTCCCAATGCCCACAAGGCAGCCCTGGACTTAGCATGTCTGTAAGGCAGCAGCTTCTTGTATTTCTTGGGACCCTGTGCCTGTTCTTTTGGTTTCTGCCCATGATGGAGATCTCAGTTAATAGCCCCACCATCATGCAATCAGTGGTTTAAGCTGGCAGGAAGTCTTCTTGATGGTGTCACTCCCCCCACTCCCCAGAGCCACCTCTGAGCCCCTTCAAACTTGCCTCCTAAGGGCCTCAAGAATCATTCCCTGCTTCCTTCACCTCCCCTCCAGTCTCACTCCTGCTGCTTCCCATTTGTACTCTTTGCTTTGGCCAAGGTCGCCCTCTTTCCCATAAAAGTGTGAGACTTCTTCCTGCATCAGAGTCTGTGCTTGCCTTCTGCTGTGCCTGGAAGGCTGCCTTGCTCTGGGCAACTCCTCTGTATTCTTCAGGTCTTTGCTCACTGCTTACATTGAATTTCCCTGACTTCCCACACTGGGTTAGATCACCTTGCTCTATATTGTGCATATTTTCATGGTGGCCACCCTTCCCTTTTAGCATAGGTACTCCACAGGTTATTGACTGTTTCATGCAGAGGGCAGGAACCACATCGTGCTGTCTCCTGGTGCCTAACATATTACAAATCCCCAGTAAGTGAACAACTGATGGAAGGCAAAGGCAGGAGAGTGGGGAGGCCAGCCTGTGACTGATGCCAGGTCTGCCATGTTCAGGGTCAAGGAATAGAATTTTCTTTTTCAGAGGTCTCTAGTCTCCTCAGGCCTTCTCTGTCATTTGCCTTCCCTCATGGAATCCCCTCCCAGGTTTGTTTCTGAAGATAGACTTTATGCCTTCAAACAAAGGGCAGGAGTGCTTGGAAGGAGGGCTGGTGGCTCAGTGTGGGAGCTGCCTCCATTGGGTTCATCCCACTGTGGGGGTTACAGCCCAGTTCTTCCCTAAGGAGCTTCTAGCCCTACCAGGGCTGAGAGAGGGACTGGGTTGGGCCAGGCCTGATCTTCATCCTTCTCTGGCTTTTCTTTCCTTCCAGGTCAAGACAAAGAGGTGTGGGCAGGCCTCTGGGCCAGCTGGTGCCACCCGTGCCATCATGGCAGGTAAGGACAGGGTCATGTGGATAGGATATGCAGGTGAGCACAGGGTGGGTGGCCCCCTTCCTAGTTTCCTTATCCCTTTTAGTTTTTGGAGGTCAAGTTGTTTCTGTCCTCCTTTCTGTTCTCCCCAGGCTTTCCCTGGTCTCCCCCTGAGACTATCTATTTGAGACCCTCAACATGACATTGTTGAGCTCTCTGTCAGATCTCTGACCCTGGGGACCAGAGATTGAGCACCCTGATGCCTTGGTCCTGCTGGCCATCTGAGTGATAAGCAGCAAGGGTGGCTCAGTCCCTGTCCCCTCTGTCACTATTGCTCTTTAATACTCTGAGACCCTTTCCTTCTGATTTCTGAGTTGTTTGGTTTCCAAAGGCTCAAACACAGTGCCAGAGCTGGAGGGACCTTTAGACACTATCTAGCTCAAGCCCTACCCGACTGGATAAACGGAGGTCCTGGGAGGGGTGGTAACTTGCTCCTGAACATGAATATTGGAGTGGACACGGGAACTCCTGTCTCCAGGCTTACCCATCCTGCTTCATCTGCCTGGAACTGGCTCCCCCACCATGGAGGCAGCTGTGCCCCTGATGGACAGTATTTATTGTTTCTCTTCTGAGAGACAGCAACACTGCCTCAGGGCCTTTGGTTATTTTGGGAACCTTGTAGCAGACTTGAGGAAGCAGGGATGGCTGTGTGGGGATAGCAAAGTAGCCTGTGACCACAGGGGCCGGGGGACAGCTGAAACCAGGGCAAGAGTGATCACACTGGGTCATCGGGGAGGGGGACGTTCAAGGTGATGCTATGTGATGTGCTTCACCCACAGAGAAAGTGAACAACTTCCCACCATTGCCCAAATTCATCCCCTTGAAGCCATGTTTCTACCAAGACTTTGAGGCAGACATTCCTCCCCAGCATCTCAGCATGACCAAGCGCCTCTACTACCTCTGGATGTGTGAGTGCTGTAGGATGGGGGTGGGCCACGGGGGCGGGGTGGGGGAGGGAGGACGGCTGGTGCGTGCCAGACATCAAGGTGGGGTGCCTGCGGGCTTGGCTGTCCACCCTTGCAGCATCTGCATGGGCCACCTCCCAGCAGGTTCTGCTCATGGGTTGACTACCCATCTGGGCCCTGGTTTCCCTCATCCTCCCTGCCCCCCATCTAGGCCTCTCCTCCCTTCTCTCCCTACACTTCCCATTCGCAGAGCATCTAGGTGAGGGGCTCTGTCTGTAGCATCATTTCTCTTTTTGCTCTCCCTTCCCCTTCCCACTGGAGTGGTTCTCCAGGTGGCTGCCAGGACCTCCGGATTCTGGATTCGGAGGGGAATCCTTGTCTCAAAGCCACATTTGTCTTGCTTTCTTTGGAAAACTGCTCAGCGAAAAGAGCACTGACTAGAAGTTGGGAGATACAAGATCAAATGGGGCTGATTGCCCTATATCCTAAGCCACAGGTTCCTCACTTATAGGAAGAGGGTGTTGGCTCAGTGATCACCGTGGTTCCAAGGAGTTCTGTGTTGTGCGGTCTGTACTTCTCTAAGAATCTAGAGTTCTGATGTTCTACAATGTCGAGATCCAGAGTTTAAAGACTCCAGTTGTTGGTGGGCTGTGGCAGGTTGGTGGAAAAGTGTCATCTTAGGGGGATGGGACTTTGCTCTGCCCAGGCTGGTCAAAGGTACCTCTTAGGCAGGTACACGCAGGGCAGGCTGGTTTTCCTGTGCTGGGTACTGGCCTCAAGGTACCTTAGACCTGCAGTGTGACCACAGCAGGGTGTGTCAGGTGTGATGTTGCCTTGAGTCAGGCCTGCACTTAGCTGCTGACTTGGGGAGGTGATTGCTTGTGCCAGGAAGGTGGTAAAGAATGCTGTCTTTGCAGCAGGTCCTTCATGGAGTGATAGAAAGAGTATGGGGACAGACAGACTCAGTTTCAAGCCCTGGCTTAGCCTTTGGGCAGAGAAGGAATCTTTCCCTGTGTAACATGAGAGGAGGAAGAGATGGGGCAGGTGTGAGAAGGTCTGTAGATGTTGGGAAGAGAATGAGGAGGTTGCCTCTGATGGCTTCTATTTCTTCCCATCAAATGTGATGTAGAAGTGAGGATGGGAGTTTTGAGGAAAGTGGGATTAGAATGATAGCATTTGTGGGCAGAGGGTGAGGACACTATCCAAAGACACATGACCCTGAAGACTTCTGGGCCATGCTCAGGGTCTGTTTGGGGTTGGCCGCTGTGAATTCATAGTCCTACCAGGCTTCTCCGTAGGCTCCTTCTTTTCTAGCAACATTCAGCTCAGATGCAGGTGGGCATTGTGTTCATCAAGGGTGACTGTGATCAGAAGACCAGGCAGGGGAGGGAATTAGAAAAAGTGTGATGAATTATGGAATCCAAGCTTGACAGAGAGAGAAGTGGAGATAGAAAAAAGCTGATGGTTGGAGAGAGAGTAGCCAAGTCAATGGATGTCTGTTCCAAAGAGGTAGTGGAATAATTGTAACAGAGGCACTAGATCAGGGAGCTGGAGAGAGATGGGATCTGGGAAGAGAGATATAAACCAATATAAAAACAAGTTAATATCTGTTCTATGTAAAGAGCAAATAAAATCAGTAAGAACACCAAAGTTGTGGGGAATTGGGGGGCAATACACAGAGATGGAGGAAATACAACTGAAGGGGACAGGAAGAAATGCTCCAGGGTGTTAGGAGGGGCCCTGAGATGGGTTTTCATGCCCAGGTGACAGCATTGTCAGAGCAGACTTGGGGAGCACCCCACCTGACCCTGAGCTCTGGGAACTCTGCCCCTGAGAAAATCCAGGGGCTGGATTTAAGGGCTATAAATATCTTCCTAAGTCCTCACCAGGCACCTGCCAGATGCTATGCTCCCAAGGAAATGTATATAACCCTTGAGATGCTTAAGGGTTCTATTCAGAAACCAAGACCAGATGTCTCGTGTTTGAGGCCACGAGTGAGCCCGCCTGCTTTTGTTTATTCAGCAGATCTTTGTGGAGCCTTGAAGGGACTCAACTTAACGTTTGAGGAAGGGAGCGCCCTGAGGTCAGAAGCCCTGTGTATGAGGTTTCTGCTGGCTGTGACTCAGTGATGCTGTGATTCTGAGTTCATCTAGAGTATATGGACACAGACGAGAGGGATCCTGGATTCTGCTCTTGCAGAGCTAGTGTGGTTGATGGGCTGGGATTTGTACTTGGGAAACCATGCATGAGAGCAGCCCAGGTCTGAAAGAGGTCAGAGGGATGGGACATGAATAAAGTTGGAGTAGTAAAGGAAGGCTTCTTGGAGGAAGTGGCATAATAGTTATCTAAGAAATGAATTAGATAGAGATTGAGATCCCAGCCACTGCTGCATGCCCTATTTTTTTTTTTAATTTTTAATGTTTATTTATTTGAGAGAGAGAGAGAGAGAGAGAGCGAGTGAGCATGAGCAGGGGAGGGGCAGAGAGAGAGGGAGACAGAATCCAATGCAGGCTCCAGGCTCTGAGCTGTCAGCAGAGAGCCCAATGCAGGGCTTGAACCCACAAACTGTGAGATCATGACCTGAGCTGAAATCGGAGGCTTAACCGACCGAGCCACCCAGGCGCCCCAATGCATGCCCCATTTTAAGAGCAGGGTAGATGGTACAATGGCTTGAAGAGATGTTTCCACGAGGCCTTTTACTTTCCACTTTTTGGACCCCTTGCACAAGAAGATGTAAGGGTTTCCTGTGCCTTGGGCTTGGTGATTGCTGTGAATATGGGAGGGCCAGCAGCTGAAGCCATTCTTATAAGAAGAGCATTTCTACCACCTGGAGGCTTTGGGGCCCTTTAACGGGGCTTGTTGGCTGAGGCTCTGGGTTCCTGCTCTGGAGACTCTTTGTTCTCCGGATTTCTCAGATCTCTAGGAGTGGGTGTGGGGAGGAGAATGGAATTGGTCTAAGCTTCCAGTTTTCTTTCTTACAGTCTGTACTCCCTCTGTGTGTGTATGCATGTGTGTCTCGTGTATCTGTGTGTATTCACTGATGTGCGTTGTGGGTGTGAATCTCTGTAAATGTGGTTTTCATGCATGTTTGTGTGTATCTACCTCTCTGTGTATATGCTGTTTCCATGTGTTCGATTGTGGGTCTGTTGAGTTATGTGTGTGTGTGTCCATGTCTGGGTGCTCACATATCTCTGCATGGGCCTGGGTGTCTGTGTGCGTGTCTGGTGTTTGTCTCTGTGTGTGCATGTACTCCTGGGTCTGCAGTGAACAGCGTCACGCTGGCCGTGAACCTGGTGGGCTGTCTCGCGTGGCTGATCGGAGGCGGGGGAGCCACCAACTTTGGCCTGGCCTTTCTCTGGCTCATCCTCTTCACACCCTGCTCCTACGTCTGCTGGTTTCGGCCCATTTACAAGGCCTTCAAGTAAGTTGTTGGTGCTGACCCCAGCTCCTAGCCCTGTCTCTTTGCCCATCTACCCTGTCTCTTCCCTACATATTTTCTCACTTTTTTTTTTTTTTTTGACCACCCCCTAGACTCACTTTCACTTCTGCACCCTCAGCTCAGACTGCCAGGTAGGACTTGGGCTTCCTGAGAGCTCAGTGCTGGGAGTCAAGAGTCTTAGTTCCTTCCTTCCCTACCCCTTACTTACTTTCTCACTTCTTTGGGTGGGCACCACATAGATATCAGGCCTATTTTAGTTTTGCCTTCCCCAGGCAGCTGTATGTTAAGTTTTGCCAATGGGACCACCTGTCTTGGTGAAGCTGCCCGTCTTTGTGCCTGTGGGGCTAGCTGATTTGGCACCAGGTGGACTATCTGCCATGTGCTAATGGAACCAGTCATCCAGGTACTACTGACACTATGTGCTAATGATGTCATCCAACTCATTGGATGCTAAATGTGCTAAAGGGAACACCCATTCATGTGCAAGTGGGGCTAACTCTCTTGGTGCCAATGGGTGTCTACCTTGTGTAAAACAGACTTTCTGTCTTGGTGCTAATGGGACTATTCATCTATGTACCAACAAGGCTATCTGTCTTGGTGCCAGTGGAGTATCAATCTCAGTGCTAATGGGGCCTCAGATGTCTTTGCCAATCAGATCATCCAACTGTATACCAATTAGGCTACTATTTGGTGCCAGTAGGGTTCCATTCTTGTACCAATGAGACTTTCTGTCTCTGAGCTTATAGGAATGTCCATCCATGTGCCAGTGGAGCTAGATATCTTGGTGCCAGTAAGGCTGTCCATCCCCTTGACGATGGGGTTACTTATTCCTACCATAATCGACCCATCTATTTCTATGCCAATAGGGCCAACCATCCATGTACTGTGAGGGTCCATTTATGAGGAGATCTCTCCCTATGTAATGTTGCACGCACAAGATTAACACACGGAAACTTACACACGGAAACTTGCAAAGATCCTCGTAAACACTGTCCCATTTTTGCCTCTCAATTAAGGCCTTTGGGTCTCTTCTGTCTGTTGCATACTCATTTAAACTTGGAAGGGCTTGGGGGTCCTGAAGGCAGGGAAGCCCTGGCCCTCTTCCCAGGTGATGGGAGTCATCTCCTTTGGTGCAGGACTGACAGCTCCTTCAGCTTCATGGCATTCTTCTTTACCTTCATGGCCCAGCTGGTCATCAGCATCATCCAGGCTGTGGGCATCCCAGGCTGGGGAGTCTGGTAAGAGACCGGGGTGTCTGGGATTGACCCAGGGTTGGTATGGGTGGCACTTCGGGTGTGTCCATTGTTTACCTCTCTGTGTTAGCTGCCTAGCCTGTGAGAGGAATCAGGGTAGTATAGTTGTCATAGTGACATACCCATGGCATCAGGGGGGAAGGAGAACCTCGCAGTGGCTTTTGGGGGTGCTAAGGTGTGTCAGGCATCATGGGAGAACCCAAGGGAAAGAAGCCTTATGCCTGAGAAGCTTGTGTCCTGAGCCATGGGGAAGGATTCTTCTGAACCACTGACACAGGCCCTTTGGATGGTCTCTTTGCATCCAATGATATGGCCCCTCCTTGTGACATTGAGATGGCTCCTGGCTGTGGTGGGGTGGCTCCTGGCTACCCGTCACCATGCCGGCAGCCCCACAGCTGGCCTCTTTCTACAGCGGCTGGATCGCCACCATTTCCTTCTTCGGAACAAACGTTGGCTCAGCAGTGGTGATGCTCATTCCTACCATCATGTTCACGGTTGTGGCTGTGTTTTCCTTCATCGCTCTCAGCATGGTATGTGGTCACCTCAAGGTTGAGAGGGTGGCTTTGGGAAGGGGCTGCCATCTGTAACGACCCTCCTCCAAGTTACAGGAGGACCCAGAGGTCTTCCAAGGGACTCACTCTAGAACGGCTTGGTGGACTTTGCTCCTAGTACACAGGGCAGGTGTGGGAGGGAGGATTGGTTTTTACAGGGACTTGTCTCTGGTTTCCAGGTCTTTCCTGGAAGGTCTGCCCCTTCCCTTTGATTAACCCTTCCTTGTGCTCCTCCTCCTACAGGTTCATAAATTCTACCGGGGCAGTGGGGGGAGTTTCAGCAAAGCTCAGGAGGAGTGGACCACGGGGGCATGGAAGAACCCACACGTGCAGCAGGCGGCCCAGAATGCAGCCATGGGGGCGGCCCAGGGTGCCATGAATCAGCCGCAGACTCAGTATTCCGCCACCCCCAACTACACATACTCCAATGAGATGTGAGCCAGCCACGCCTACCAGGAGGGCAGGGCTGGGGGTCAGTGGGATGGGGACTCAAGCCACATCATCAGTTGTGGTGACCAAGCAGGGTTCCCCCCCTCCCTTTTCTCCTCCCCCACTTTGTACAAAGAATCAGAGTTATATATATATATACATATATATATATGTATATGTCTCCCCCCTTTCCCCACCCCTCTGGATTTTGCTCTCAGAACTCTGAGAGCTGTGGGCTGCACGTGGAGCTGTCCCATGCAGTGGTAGCTATGTCCATGTCCCCTTGTGAAATAGTACACAGTGGAGGTCTCTGTTGTTGTGGTGCTAGATGTATGTTTAGAACTCAACCAGCCCCCACCCTCCACCAGGGATCTGACCTTGGCCCAGGGATCCCTTATGGGCCAGGGAGGCATAGCAGAAAGCCTGGCCCCTCCCCAGGGTCATGAGCTGAAACTGTCTCCACTTTTGGTCTTACTGGGAAGCAACAGTATTTAGCGCTCATGGGGGTGGTAGGTAGGAGGGTGGGGACAGGCCAGGGATCTTCCTTTGCTCCTTCTGATCTGGTCTCCTCCACTTCCCACTTCTCCTCTCCTCTTTTCCTGGTGTCAGATTCCCTGTGGCTTCTTTTCTTGCCCAGGGTCTCTGTCTTTCCCATGTGGCTTTTCTTTGTCTTCCCCAAGGCTGAGTGTGCCAGTTGTGTCTGCTCCTGAGACTGAGCCCATTCCCAGATCAAGGAAGTAGACAGGAGCTGAGCTTTAGTGGTGACGTGGGAGGGCACGCAGCTGGAGATGCAGAGCTCACCTGGGAACCTGACTCCCAGGGAGTGGAAGTGCAGGGTCATCTCCTTGATTCTCAGAGTGTGGCCTACAGGGGAAGGCTCCTCTCTTCTCTGTCCTGCTTCTCCTCCTTCTCTTTCCAGAGTCCCCTTGAGCCCCTCTGCCTATGTCACTCTCCTCGTCCCATGCTAGGTGGCATCTGCTACCCATGAAGGCAGATTCCACTGTCTTCTCTGAAGAGCTGGGTGGTGTCCAGGTGATTTGGGGGTGTAAAGGTGCAGCTGGAGCAGAGGGTATGCAAATAATGGTCTTTGAGGGAGATCTGGCTGGCCCAAGCCCATTGGGCAGGTGCCAGGTGTCTCTGAAAGACCATTGGATTTCTGGGAGCTATAGCTGTTGTTTGGGTCTGGTAGAGGGGCAGGCTCAGAGGGCTGAGCCTGGACGGAAGATTGGAGGAGAAGGCAGGCAGGGCCCAGTGAGAGGAGAGGGTGTCTCTTCCCACCCCAGCTTGCTTTTGGTCACAGAGCACTTCTGGGCTCTTGAAGTCAGGGCCCAGGAAGAAGCACATGCTCAGTCCTATCCACAAGCACAATGAATGGCTGGAATGGGATTTCAGGGTAGACCGGGTGGGAGGGAAAGCCCTCTGGCTTTTTTTTTTTTTTTTTTTTTTTTTTTTTTTTCAAATCAAGATTACTTGCTCCTTTCTGCCTACTAGACTTGGTTTTTGGCCCTTCCTCACCCTGTCAGAACTCCTTTTCCCTTGCAGGGTGGTGATTTAAGTCTTGTGGGGCTGTTCTGTTCTAAGCATCGTGAAAATGTTGCTGGTGGAGGCCCTGGCTCTTTCTGAGGCCTGGAGGGGAGTGGACTCTCCGCAAAGGAGCAGCCACCTGTTTTCCATCCTCCCTTCTGCCTGGGCTGTTTAGCCTGGAAACCCAGACCCAGCTTGGTCACTCTGGGCTGGAACCCAGCACTTGGGCTTCCAGGTACCATCTGAGCTTTGAGCTCCAGGTACTTCATTTTCTGTAAGGGGAGCCAAGGGCTCTGAAAAGTTCTCTTCCTAATGGTCCTTTAGGCTTGGGCCAGAGTATGATTGGCTCTCTGCTCTACCATTTTCTCTCTGGAAGGCAGAGCCTTCTAGTCACAAGCCTCTAGTACCTAAAAAGAGACCCTAGGTCTAGGTTTTCTTCACTTTTCCTCTCCCCTACCCTAGACCTCTGGCTCCCTTTCCCTTGGTCTCTAGTAGCTCCAGGAGGGCTGTGGTGGTTCCCATTCCTGTTGGATGCCACCTGTGGTCGATTTGTTGTCCTACCTGCCCCTCTTCTTTCCTGGCCCAGACCTATATGGCTATGCCCTGGCTCTGCTCTTGGGAAGGCCTGCTACCTGGTTGTGGCCCAGCTTGTCCAGGCCCTGGGATGCTGCGTCTCCAGGCAACTATGCACTTTCCTAGGGTGGGAACCGGTATGAGAAGTGGGGGCTGGGCACGAATTTATCTCTGCTGGATGGTCTGTCTTGGGGGAGTGCTGGAGGAAGGCCCAGGTCAGTTCTGGGAATCCTCAGGTCTGGCCAGCCAGTGACCTGCTTTTGCATTTTGCTGGTGCCCGTTGCTCCTCCTTGTTTCTGGGGGACACAGACCATTGTCCAACTGGCAGTTGACCTGCCTGAGCTAATGTCTGTCTGTGGTAACTGAGTGAACCATAATAAAGGGGAACATTTGGCCCTGTGTGTCCTGCTGCGTCATGTGTCTTCATGTGGGCCTCTGTGGAGCCTCACTGTGGGCTGTGGGACATGGAGGTAGGGTGGGTCAAGTGGGTCTGTGGCCTGTCTTTCCCAGGGCCCAAAAGTCACACATCTGTTTGTGGTTCTTTCTCTGAGGCAGCCTTGAGTAGGCCTTGAAATTACCACAGAGGCCTCCTGCCTGTTAGAAGGAGGAGTTCTGAGTTGCCTGAGGAGGAAGTAGAAGCCTGGATTAACGGGTGAGGGGTGGTTTGGTCCAGATGGTTGCTGCAAGACAAGGGCAAGGGTAGAACACAGGGGGTCACCTCACGTCTCACTGATGGGAGACTGGCAGCTGATTGAGCCGCCTCAACAAACAGGGCTTATGGGGGTCTGGGTGCCAGAGAATGAAGAAGGCAGTGAAGTGTACCCAATATGCTTTCTCATGTTGCTTCCCCTTTGCCAAGGCTGTGCCCTCCATTTGGGTTGCTGTGCTGGCACTTGAAGCTTCTGGTCATCCTTCAAGATTCACCTAGAGTACCTCCTCAGAGGGCTTCCCTGCCTCTGGTTGTTTAGCCCCTATGCTTCCCCATGGAGGATCTTATTCTGTAATTCCCTGTGTCCCTGCTTGTCTGGAGCAGGGACAGGTCTGATTTAGCCTTGTATCCTGTACACCTAGCACAGGAAAGTCTTGGCAAATGTTCAGTATTAAGTGCCACAAGGATGAACAGGGCGTATGTGTGGTATGAGGGTGTGGGGTGAGGTCAGACAATTAGGCTTGGCCCAGGGCAGAGCACCAGCAGTATCAAAAACAGCTAGCGGACGTCCGCGGAAGGATTCCTTCGAATGGACTACAACTACCAGAAGGCAGAGAAGTAGACTACAACTCCCAGAAGGCGGCGCGAGCACGTAGACAGCCGGGTGCTCTCGTGAGACTACCTGCTAAGCGGAAACGGCGGGAGTGGCGGCTGAGATCTCGCGATATTTGGGGCTGCCCGAGACGCGCCTGGTGCTGGAGAGGAATCTCAGGGTACTTGGAGGTTGTGTCCTCTTGGCCGGGTGGTAGGGAGGTTCGAGGAGCTTCGCTTGATTGTGTATCTGCGACTGTTTGTGTGTGACCTTACTGTCCCTGCGCGCGTGCGTGTGAGTGTGAAGGATGTGGGTCTGCAGGTGTGTGTGTGTGACCTCAGTTTCCTATCTATGCCGGTGAAGCTCTGCTCGCCACTGTGGATTAGCCGCTATGTCTGCGTAGGGACTGTTGAACCTTTGGGACTGAATTTACCTATCTGCCCGTGGGGCCGGAGCATTAGGGACTTCTTTCTGGCTCGAGTCCGGAGTGGGGGGATTTGTATCTGTGCGTTCCCACCCCTGCTTTTTGCTGCACTGCGATTGTTTAGTGCCGTTTAACTAAATGTATTTAGTGCCCTATCGGTTCCCCTTATTTTATTTTATTTTATTTTATTTTATTTTATTTTAATTTATTTATTTTTTATTTTTAGTGTTTATTTATTAGTTTTGAGAGAGAGGGAGACAATGTGAGTGGGTTAGGGGCAGAGAGAGAGGGAGACACAGAATCCGAAGCAGGCCCCAGGCTCCGAGCTGTCAGCACAGAGCCCGTTGGGGGGCTTGAACTCACGAGCTGTGAAATCATGACCTCACGAGATGTGAAATCATGTCCTGAGCTGAACTTGGGTGCTCAACCGACTGAACAACCCAGGCGCCTCTCAGTTCCCTTTATTTTAAAAGTTAGTAAAATAGAAAATGCAGAGCCTTGGCATGTTGGAATTATATCCCCTAGATCCTCCTAAAATTGCTAATTTAAAAATTAGAGTGAGGCTAAATTTTGCCAGAAGAAAACTTCCTACTGTCTTTAGAAGTGTTTAGAAGCCTGTATCAGAGGATAAGTAGGAGACATTCCTAAGTAGGGGAAGTGGTGAATGTCTGGGGAGCAGGGTTTTTCCCACACATCTCTTGTAGTGGCTGTAACCACCTTGCTCCTAGCGTGTGTGTGTGAATATGTTACATATGGTTTAATGTAATACAAATATATATAAAATATGTACAATGTAGCATATAATATATGTATATATCCCCAACACGTGGGCTTCAGGAGTGCCTAAATGGGATTTCAGAAGCTGCGGAGTCAAGCATCCCTGCCTCTAGTGAGCGAGAAGAGCAGTCTTAGCAGAATGCCAGCCCCTTGAGCTCTCTCTTGAGTTCCTTGCCTTACGTTGGAGCCAGGGATTTAAAGTGCCCTGTGGCCTTTTAATGTCTTTGGGTTTGGGAGCAGGGTGACATTTGGGGGAGCTAGAAGTTGTTCATTATTATGGGGGCAGAGAGTAGTGTGTGTTGACTGGTGGGGGAGAAGGCCAGAGCAGAAGCCAGCAGTGAGGGCATCCTGGCTCCCTTTCCCCCAACCCTCCATGTTTGGTTCTGCTTTGTCCTAGGCTCCAGCCCCTCACTGTTCCTGTGTTGAGCAGGGTTCTTACTCTCTGGCCCTTTTTTTAGCCCTGGTTCTGT